GATTAATGCAGCCTCAGGGTCTGAAAAGTGAAACCAATATGGAAGTGCCTGCATTCTTTCTATTGGCCTGTGGGGGGCGACTCCGCTGGTTGCAGAAGTAGATTGCTTGTATTTACATCATCAAAAATCTTCCTGATGAATTTATGGTTTAAAATATCCAGATATATTACCATTATGGGTAATTCTACTTACTGTATATTAGTATACTGATATATTTAAGCTTTGTAAAAGTGTGCGGTTTGTCATTTGTGGGTTTTGTTTTTCTTTAACAGATAACAGATGGACTGTAAAACTTTTTATGGTGCAACACCGAGCGATTTGGCCTGTGGGATCATGCCTATTTGGACACAAAGAAATGTACTATGCCCATAACTTATTCATGCGTACAGTCAGCATATAGGAGGTGCTGATCCTTCTGTCAAGCTGATGCTGGTACACATTTACAAGATCTCTTCCAGGTCAAGGTGATGGGAGCTTGGATATATCTTTGCCCTATACATCTCTCTTACAGACTGCTGACTTGTCTGTGAGACAGACTGCGCCCCATTGAGCAAGAAACAAATATGTCTTCAAAGGTTTTGCTTGCACTTGACCACAACTTGAAGCAAATAAACATCCCAGTATCTAAAGCTGAGCGACCGTCATCCTCCTCTCAACCACGAGCTGCTTCAGAAGGAGCAGTACATCCCAAGAGCTTCACAGCCACTACACTTCAGTGTGAGAGGCTGAAGTTGTGCTACCTCTGCTGGAAATATATGTTCTTTGGCTTGAATGCACACCAACAGTGCTTCGATTACTCCAAAAAAATAATTATTACACAGAAATCTTTTCTTAAAAGTAATCCAGTATGTTACTTAATTAAAGAAAGTAATTTGTTATACTAATTGTTACATTACTTTAATGTTACTCTGTAAAATGACCTGAAAGGCACTGTCTCATAATTATCATTAAACAGTATGGCTGCAGTCCCACACACCCTGATGAGGACACACATATGATCTCTCTGTTAGTATTACACCACGGCTCTCTTAGTAGAACAAAAAGCCGACGTCACAAAGCAAAAAGAAAACGAGCACAAACTGCTCAGCCTGACTGCTCATCAGTTTGTTACCTGCTTACGTCCAGGTTCTGGCTGCTGGGCTGAGGTCGGCATTCACTCAATTTTAACGTCACCCTGGGTTCTCGGCTAGCTTAGCATTAGCATGTTGTCTGTGCCGGGTTTTCTGGAAATCCATCCTATCACAACATCCTACCTGTTGTTTCTTCGT